GAACGAGGGAACAGAAGCCGAGCCCAGCCTGACCGCAGGCAATACGTTCGACGAGTTCGACCGACTGGTTGCCGACATCCAGGCGACAACCGGCGCAGCGGTGTACAATCCGTGCGTGGCACACCCCGTAACGGAGATAGTGCCGGACAATAGCGCCGTGAACGAAGACGCGATAATCGCGCGATTACAATAAAAATGTCAGCACGCGAGCTGATATGTGGTGTAGCCACATTTACATTATTATTTGTGATTACCTTCGGTATGCTGACCGCAGCCGAATGGATTTTGACGGCAATGTTAAGCCGATGATATAATTTACCACATTTACTAACGTTTTATTCCTTTATATTTTATATTTTGGTACAGGCTCAACAAAAAGTCTTGTAATAGTTTTAAGAAACATTTGTAAGCGCACGAATGCAAGTGTGAATGTGTCGGTCGATAGATGTAAGGCAATATTGTTGCGAACTGATACGTAATTAAGAGCGAAGCGATGCATAGCACGCGGATAAAGAGCGAGTGACATATTGTCACAATTTTATAAGTTTCTTATTTTTTTATGATTTTTATAATTTTGCACGAGTTGCATGATTTTGGTAGACGAAGAGTTTCCGTCACAAAGTTCGCGAAGAAGCGACGAAAAACAAAGATTCGGTAAAATGTATACTTACCACTTTTTATCATCCTGCGCCGAAAATTAGACAGTCCGCGGGAAAACCTGAAAATGGGTTAAAAATTATTAATATTCAGTTTGTTTGGGTCACAATTTACTTACCTTTTGTTTGAATAACGATTCCCGACGGGAATACCTAAAAACATGTGTTTCGAGCCACAAATCGGGTGCCGAAACGACGATATACATTCAATTGCTTGATTAGGAGCAAATCGGCTCACAATTGACTCACAAATCCGCGAGAGGGGCAACGCGATACAGTAAAAATGATTAAAATTGATTCCCCTCACAATCGAGCCACTTATTCCCGGAGATGGCGGGAAAGGTGACTGCGAGCCTCGTCAGCCACAACCGGTCTGACGTCACGGGGCGATTCACGGGTCCAGAGTTACCCGCGCACCACAAAGTGGTGCCTAGCGACAT